TTATCAAAAAGCCATTAAACAGTTTTAAGCCAGAGTGTGACATGGTTTGGATCTAAACGTTACAATGATTACTTTAGTTGCTGTGTGGAGAAAGAACTGGAGGGGAAAGAGTGAGTGTGGAGTGACCATTTGGGAGGTTCCTGTGGAGGCCTGTTGAGGGATGAAGGAGAACATGATGCCCGTAGCGGAAAGGCCTGCCAACCCAGGAGCCTGGCTTAGTGTGGCAATGAGAAAAGCAAGCTCTGTGTGTTGCCAGCAGATTCATCCCTGCTCTTTATGGGCTGAGTATTCTGTAGGAGGCAGGAGGAAATCATATATTTGCAAAACCTCAGAAGTAGGGGTGGTGTGACGTGGTCAATAGGAATTTAGGCTGTAAGTCGGTTAAAAGAAGATGGGGAAGAGGTTGAGGCAAAAGTACCCAAAAAGGGGATTGTGATCATTAAGCTGGTCAAACATGATTTGCACCAAATGCAAACAGTGTTGTATTTGGATTTGTCCTCCAGCACTTCTTCTTGCAAGCAATGCTTGATGGGTGTAATGATCACAAAACGTCTTTGTTTCTGGGTACTTATAAAAAGAACTACATTTTTAGCATACAGCAAGTTGCCCCGAGCAGCTTACAATTAGAGCCTTTTCAATTGATGGTTGTATTTAGGATTCTACCCAGCTAATGAAGGTAAGAATGGTTTTCAAGTCTAGCCTCAGTGGTTCCTGGAATGGCCCTGGCCCCTCACACATTCCGCCCACCAACCACGTTGCTCCCAGCACTCACTTCCCCATATGGTTGCTGCAAGACTTTGGGCAAATCAAATAGCCTTTCTTACTTAATTGCGTCATGCTACACATGGAAGGGGCCCAGCTCTTGAAGTCTCTTTCACCTCCAGGATATTGGATTCCATGCCACAAGACTCCTCCATTGCCCAGTGTTCTTCTGAATCACTGAGGACTGTGTTACTAACACTCATTGTCATAATTTGGTGGTCCTAATAGGGCCAGGAAGAGTTTGTTCCTTGCCCTGAGAAAATTGTAAGCCTATTTTTGAAAACCACTGCAGCCTCATGGAGGCATCTTCCTTCACTCCCAATTTACTTCAATTAGCAAATGAAGGAATATGCATTTATTGAGCACGTGCTGTGTGCCCTAAGTAGTACTCAGGGCTTTCACTCACTTAACTGTCAAGGACACCCTTGTAAGGCAGGGGTACTGTTTGACATTATAAAAGGAAACAGGTGAAGAAACTTGCCCTAATGTCACTCAGCAAAAAGAAGGTTACATAATGCTATCAAACACAAGACTTCTGATTCTATGTCCAGGTTTTTGTTCTTGTTTTTGTTTCTTTCCCCTAAACCGATGTTTCTCAAAGCAGGAAATTCATATTCCAGGTGTAAACAAGCTGATTTTAGGTGGTTTGTGGATGAGGCAGGGAAAAAAAAACACTGAATCACATGATGGGAAAGTCGTATTCTTTTCAGTTCTCTCAAACATCCTGATTAGTCAAGCAGAACATGGGTTTGGTGTTAATATGGCTCTAGTACATGTTGAATATTTGCTAATATCCTTTTTTTTAACAAAGAAAGCTGGTCTCAGGCTTAGAGCCCCCAACATTCAAGTGTTTATCAAGAATTTAATAAAATTATTTTGATTTTATCTTCTATTTTTGGAACATCATATTGGTTTTCCTCGTTGGTAACATAAAGTGGCCTTTAAAGGAAAAAAATTTAAGGGGAAAATAATTAAAGAAAAATGTTGAATAAATTAGAGTTCAGATCTATGGGCATAATGATAAAAATCACGAATGTGTATACATTTGAATGAAGCCGAGAATTGCCCCATGGATTCATGCTGCTTTGTTCACTCCCAGGACACATGGAGCTCCATGTGATCATTGTGACACGAAGTTCTGAATATGTTCTTTGTTTCCTTGAGAAATATGTAGGAACAATTATAATAAAAGCCATCCTTGTCCTTAGAACCATTGAGCCTTCCTTCTTAAGTTTAAATTTTATAACCCATCAACCCAAGCTAGTAATGGAGTCTTAAAACCTAGGAAAAATATGTAAGTTTATTGCAAAAGATAATATCCCATTTAAAACAGTTTAGAAATTTACAAAACCTTACATTAGTACATCATCTTTAAGAAGGTGCTCTATAGATGAGCTGGTATTAAGTTCCAAGGATAGTGAGTACACTTTTTTTTTTTAAACTACAGAGAAAGCAGCTACATAAACTCCTGCAATTTAAGGTGATGTATAGGTCTTTTTCCCTTCAACTTTATAAAAGTAATTTTTGCTAAATTAATATCTCTCCATAAAATCATATAACCTTAAAGACAGCATTTCTGTAGAATATCATGGTAGATGTTACGTAATATTTTACAAAGAAGCAGTGATTTTCACATGATTAGGTGAGTATAGAGTTTTGGTATATTTATGTGTGGTTTATTAAGCATAGAGATGGTAATTTTTGTTCATGAGGAAGGTGTTTATCGAATCCTTTTCCCTCATAATGATTTTAAATATCAAATTTTCAGAAGAGACCTCCATCCCAGTTTCAGGTCAGCGGCCCAAGCAATGTGGTGTTGTGCTTTGGTATAGAATCACTATAGCCTCATTTGGTTTAATTTCTAGAAATGTCAGCATTTTCCAATGCCACTTTCATTTAATTCAGTTGAGTCTTTTATGTGAGGCCCCCCAACTTGACATATGTATATGACTACACAAGCTTCTTAATTTTGTATGAGTAACCTCAAAGTCTTTTCATCTTTCCAGGCTAACTTTGGCAAATGATTCAGCTCAGCTCATTTGATGTTGGAACATGCACAGAGCTTATAAAGTAGATAGAGTAGGTGTTTTTATCTCCACTCAAAAATGGACAAACAGGCCCTGAAAATTTAAGCCCATGGTTAATGGAATAACTGCTTGGTTGCCTGGGTCTCTTAACTCTAGGAAGAGTATTGTTTTCATCCTAGCATGATGCCCAACAATATGTATTCACTTGAAATGAGCATAACGAAGCAAATTAAGATGGAAACTCTACTACAAGATAAAATTACATAAGAGATCCCAAATGATTTTTGTTTTATTGGATTATCCTCTGTGCTGTTCTTTTCCATGACTGGGGCCAACTGAGACTTGATTGTATGGATACAGAAAGAAAGATCTATGGCTTTTAGCCAGTGATAGCATATCTTATTGAAATGTGGCTTCTTAAGTATGACAACTGTATTTATCTTAATTCTAACTTGACGTTATGTATTCCGGTCTCATTTTGTGGCTTTAAACATTACACTAGAAACAGAACAAGAACATCTTGAATGACATTCTAAGACTTAAATAGTGCAAGCTGAGATTCCTTGCCAAATTCCCTTCTCACTTTTGCTGAAATAGCTTTGTGCACTGCGGCACTGTGACAGGGGAAGGTGAAACTGTTGGAGTGGTTTGCTCAATTAGTCTCAATTTGCAGTGGGGTCTGTACATCCCCCGTACACACAGAATGCTGCACTCTGTAAAGACTCTAGCTTAGACACTGGATCTTTGGCAAAAGGGGACTACAAAATACCTTCTTTATTTAATATATGTTTAGCTTTAGGATCCCTTCTTTCTAGCAGCAACAATCCAACCACAGGCTGGTGGAGAATTTAACAGGAAGGAATCTGAACCTTGCCATCCAACCCCTCATCCCCAAGAGTATGTAGCAATTACTTAATTATAGTACTTTAGTTTGTTCAGCCATGCAAGTTTGACTGGACCCATGCGTATGGGGGTCTTGTCAAAAGAATGAGCCAGACCTTAAATCAGACTTTGGGAAAGAAAGGTCTTTAAGTCTTTAATACTAAAATGGAAAAAACTATATCCTCATCCCCAGTCCTGCTGCTTCATTAATCAGGTGACCATTGCCTGGTCACCAGGAAGGGAGATTTTGTAGATTAATATATATTTGAACCTAGCTACAAGGCAGTTGCAGGGATGAATAGATGAGAAACAGTGTTGTATGTTATCTTAGCCTTATTTATGTTACTGATAAGACGTAACTGACAGGCTGCTGGGTGAAATAA